AACCCAGCAATTCCACTCCTGAGAATCAACCCAAGAGAAATGAAAATAAAAGTCTATACAAAGACTGGTACAAAAATATTCCTAGAGCCTTATTCATAATAGCCAAAGATTGGAAATAACTCAAATGTCCATCAGCTAGTGAATGAATAAACAAAATGTGGTATATCCATACAATGGAATAACTCAGCAATTTTTTAAAAACTACTAATATACCTAACAAAATGGATGAATCTCAAAAATATAATACTAAGTGAAAGAAACCAGACACAAAATACTATATGATTTCATTTATATGAAATTTCTGGAAAAGGCAAAACTATAAAGACGGAAGTAGATTAACAGTTGTCTAGAACCAGGGTCGGGGTAAAGCTTGGCTTGGCTCCAAAGGAGGGTGAGGAGTTGATGGAGGTGTTCTAAAGCTTGATTGTGTTGGTGGTTGCATGACTATATAAATAAATGGGTGAGTTTTATGGTATTGAAAGTATCCCTCAAAAAGCTGTTAAAAATATTCTAATAATAGTTAAAGTAGGCTGTCCTAAGGGGAAAAAATAGACAGGTGTGGTGTATATCGCAAATTTGCATTTGTCCTTGCTGGTCTTGCAGGCACGAGGAACTGCTATCGACCAGAAAATGAGAAAGCTAGCTGGACTCAGAGCATGCTTTTGAATGGTTTGACGACTTTTTAGTCAGGGGGCTTGAGAAATATAAAGTATCCTTAATCATTCTCGTTTTGTCGTCAGTAAAATGGGAATTGAATCACCTGCATGGCAGGGTTGTTTGAGACATTTGAGTCTGTATCTGAGAGACCTTGTATCTGAGACCCTTAGCACATGGCTGGGATATACGAGGCACTCAGTAAATGCTGGATGTGGCCTCCTGTTATATCTGGTTATTTGCTGAGATTGTTGCCTGTGGTGGTCATACTTCATGCTAGGGAAGATATGAGCTTGGGGACTGCTAATGATTTTTAATAGTTTGTTTGGTTTTTTTTAGCATAGTTTCTGAAAGCTGTTCCTAAATAGAATTTTAGAATTTACTGTATTAAATTAGACTTGAGGATGGACAGAGATTATAAATAGCAAAATCATAGTGCTAACCAGGCATGACAGATCCCACACATACTTTTAACTTGATATCCACCAGATATCTGAAAAAAAGAAATGACAGAAACCTATTAGATCATTCTGTTATCTAAGGGATAAAACTGAGTAGGTGTATTTTAAATGAATCAGATGGAAATTTGAGCTTTAGAAAATTCCATTTAAATGACTACTAACCTGAAACTGCCTATTTCTAAGGTCTGTTTGATTATGGCAGTAGACATTATTCACTGTTACCATGAAAAGTTACATTAAACATTTATTTATACTAAAACTTGTTTCAGAAAGGATTTAGTGCTGCTCACGGAGTTATAATACAAGTTAATAAAATACCTGAAAATGTAGGAGAATGACGTTAGGGAGAGGAGAATAAGTCCTGTGGAACCAGAAGAGAAATTGGTACCCAGAGTGTCAGGCAAAGCCCTGCACACATGCCGGGACCGGCCCCAAAATGTGCTTTCTGTGCTTCCTGCAGTCAACACAGGGACGTGAAGAAAAGCAGTAGAAAAGTCTCAAGACCCGTAAGACTAAAAATTAATAATAAAATTTAAAGAGCAATTGCTTGAGAGATGCAAAAGAATATTTCTGACACTAAAATTAAAGAGGAATATTTTCCATATGTCATCCTGGGAAGAATATTGTGCAGTGAACATGAGGAATAACATTTTTACACTCAACCCGGAACAGTTTCCACCAGCCTCAGGACAGAGCACCGAGTAACAAAGCAGTTCTGCCTGAGACCTGTGTGTGTCGCAGAATTTGACTCCAAACCACTGGATAACATTCATTCCAAGAGATAATAAATATGCTTTTGATTCTTACTTAAAAAATGAAAAATGTATCTCAAATGTCAGTGTAACCAAAAGGTTATTTTATTGCATTATATATTGTTATTTTATCATGGTAACAGAGAAATCATGCAAGAATTTTTATTTTTAAGTTTCTTATTGTCATACAGTTATTTCTCTTTTAAAGCAGTTATGAAGAATTTAAAAGCAAAAAAAAATTTTGTTACTCATCTGAGAATTCCAGGTTAGCTTTGAGTATACCTTATATATAAAGGAAGATGTAGACAGCAGTATCAGAAGGAAGATGTTGCAACATGAAATGGAGAAGTTAGGTATTTAAATTTTTTTAAATTTTAGTTTAAGTTTTTATTTAAAAATCAAAATGATGCTGTAAAAATTTAAGGCCTTGCTTTAAAAATAGGTTTAAGTTTGGTATCATTATAATTTTTATTTTCTATAACACAACTCAAATTCCTTTGAATAAGAGTAACATAAATGTTCATGTATTCCAGTTGCTAAATATATGAAGCTCACAAGGCGATTCTCATATTCATTAATATAGAGAAAATTAAGAAATGTCGCATAGTAATTTTCTTTCTATGCTCTCAATTTCTCAGATGTCAAAAACAGGTTACATTTCACCGTGAATCACCCTTTCTTTTCAGACGTATACACACGCGCACAAAACTGAAATTATTTTTATTTAGTATTATTCACCCTAGTTGCTAATGAAGGCATACTAAAATTATTCCTCATATTTATTTCCCAGTTGTTTTAGCAAATGTATGAGAATTCTAGCCTGGCTGTGGACAAATGTTTAATTATAACTAAAGAAGTTGCACTGGCTGACTGATATTTAATAATTTTACAGAATCATTTCTTGGTTTATTTTTTATTTGAGATAGTGGCATTGTGACTATGATTTTTAAAAGCCTTTATCTTTGAGAAATAATATTGAAATAAAAAAACATGGTGTAAGTGATTTGCTGCAAAGGTGGGAAAAGGGCATGAGATACAGATAAAAGAAAGTTGGCTGTGTTGATAAATGTGGGAGCTGAGTAATGAGTACCTGGGGATTCATTCTCTCTACTTTCAGTAGTTTGAAATTTTCCCTAACAAAAAGTTGAATAAGCAACGGGCAGCAGCAGCCCTGGAATTTTCCCTGAAGCTTTTAGAACCCCTTAAAAAGTAAACATGGAGAATCCTGGGGCCTCCCTGTATTCCAGTCCAACGTCTTTGTTTACCAGCAAGGAAGCTGAAACAGAGAGGTGGTTGTTTCTTTGGTGTTTTAAAATCACAGTGCCCACAATGCCTGTTTTACTACTGCTGTCAACGTGTACTCCAGAAATCGTGTATCTTGATTCTCGGGTCAAGCACTCCTCTGTAATTCTCTCTCAGAGGCTTCAGCTCAGACTGTTAAAGAACAACTGATTCTGACACTTGTTAAAGACAGTAAGGAACTTGAGTCAACGGACTACTGCCCTGGGGGTTTTCAGGAGGGGAGAGAGATGGGGCTCAGCTCTGAATATCACCGTGACACTGGGTTATCACTGTCTTCCAAGACCATCTCAAGAACAGCATCATAGTGTATTTCTCTTTAGACGTGTGTGTGTGTGGGGGGGTGTCTTCATATGGCTCTTAGAACAAAGTTTTTCTCAAGGAAGGGTACAAACTCCTTCACTGGAGTGATAGGAGGAAGCAGCAGTGGGAGATTCCAGAAGGAAACACAAACCTAGGAAGACAAGGTAAAAACTGAGATGTTCAGCTACCCTCTTTCGTGTGGAGATTGTCCCTTCATTGTCAACTGTGGTCAGTTTGGATTTGTTGATGATGATGATAGACAGACACATGATAGATGTAGAGACATGTGGCGTAACTTTAAAAATTGTTCCTGACACTGGGTACTCAGAATTGGATGTACTAGAAGCTGGTGAAGCTTAAGCTCAGGGCCCCTCTCTCCTACTCTCCCTTCCAAGATTTTGTACCTAATTTTGTATTCATAATTTTTTTCTTGTTTCAAAGAGTCCTCCCCAAATTGTATAAGCATTAGGTCCCACAATACTTGGATCCACCCTTGTATGGAATTGTGACTCTCTAAGAGAAGAACTAGCCCTTTATTTTTTTTCCTCCTAAGAATGTGTGCTGACTCTTGGGGTACATGGCAGCCACAATGAATGGTTGAATATACAGGCATTGACTGCTCACTGGCCCTGTAGCCCTGGAATTCTTTCATGCAGATCAAAGACAGAAATGGGTGTTTCCTGGGGTTGCCTTGAGGGGCAAATGACTGATGTGGGAAGGGATATAAATACTCTAATGAAGTGTTTTGTGGAAATTTACATAACTTCTTTTATATTTAGCAACAAATGTACAGTCATTTGCTTCCATAACACTGTTAATTTAATTAGGGTAATTTTGGAAATATGAATTCAGAAAGCCACCTTTTATTTTGAGATAAGGAAAGTTCTTGTTTCAGAGGGTGCTACTTGCCATAATGATGAAACTGAGCACTCTGCCTGCATGGGCTTGAACGAACCAAAAATCATAGCTCACGCTTAACTCATAGTTTTTAAAAATTCAAAAAACCAATGAATTACTATACCCAAAGAATGTCATTTTAAAAGTTTCTTTCTTATGTGCTTAATGCTTCTGGGCCAAATTAACCTATCTGCTGAACCATGTCTATTCATAATCGTGGCTCACATAGGAAATTTAGAAGAAACAGAACTTGCCATTATGATAGGCATGTTTTTTGGTTGCTGAAGTGGCAGTTCCGCTAGTTAAGTTACTGAATACTAAGAGCTTTAAAGTTGTGCCGTTAGTTGTATCTATAGTTAATGAATGTCATTAACTTTTGATTTGTAATTTTCATTTTGGGGAACTTTCTGGAATGATAAGAATGCTTGACAAGTTGATTTGAATGATGATAACATGGATGCATCCATTTTTCATCACACTGAACACAGGATCTGTGTGTTTTACTGTGTGTAAAGTAGACTTCACAGAGAAAACAATTCATGTGCTACCTGCAAAATTTTTTTTGGCAGTTACTTTTAACTTTTTGAGAGATTATAACGTATGTGTTTTCTTGTTTGTAACTTTCAATTTTTAGGAATTCTTTGATCATGTGAAGAAACTTTGGGATGATGAAGGTGTGAAGGCGTGCTTTGAGAGGTCAAACGAATACCAGCTGATCGACTGCGCACAATAGTAAGTCTGTTCCCTCGAGGGCCCGGGCCTCTTTGAAGACAGGCTTGCACCACAGCTGTGCTGCCCTCCCAGGGTCACTGACGTTTCTTGAATGCAAGGAACAAATAATTAACGTCTCACTGCAGAAATCAACTGTGAAAATGAGACGTGTTGAGTAGATGGAAAGCTGAAAATCCAATAGGAATCAGTGTTTCAGGGAAGAACCAGAAGCCGCTGTATTCATTTTATCCTGATCTTGGTTTCCAGCTCTGTTCATGTTTTGCTTTCTATAGAGTGATAGGCGTATTCGTAAATTATGATATACTTAGATATTCATTATTATATTTTAATTTTGGAGCAGGGGCCCCCAAATTAGATTTTAAAATAATATCAACATCTGCAATCAAGCCCAAGCTCTTACTTAAAGTAATAAGAGATCATCCTATACACATTGGAAGTAGACTAAAACTTTGAAAGCAGATGGTAATTACTATAATAAGTAAATATCTGGTGAAAAAATATAATTAAGAGAAATAGGAATAAAGAAAGGACTGTGGTGCCTAGGCTGGCTCATTGTTTTTCCCAGAAATGCTCATTTCCCTATTTTTCTTTTGCTATTTTAGATTCATTCTATAACTATTAGAGAATATGGTCCCCAGAAGAATGTTAAACAAGAAGTTCTAGATATGTTTGCTATTTTGGTAACAAAACTATATTTAACAAGTTGTCTTATATAACTCTTTGGGCAGCAAGAAATGAGCGTTTTTACATTTTAAGTCTGTAAACTCTAAAAATTCATACTTGTGGAAGAGATTCCATAAGCATAAAATCTGGGAATTCAGAATATTTGGAACCAACTAATGGAGTTACGCTGTGAATATTTTCGAGGAGAGGGTGGTTGTGCAGCCTCCCCAGCCTGTCCTCATCCTTAGGAGTTCAGGTACCCTCACCTGTGAGGGTTACTGAGAGGCACCAATGGCCAGGGACAAGGAGAGGGCACAAAGTGTGTCCCGGGCACTGACAGGAGGCCTGTGGGAGCGGGTGGGTAATGGAAGAGTGGCCATAAACAGGTGAGAGAGGTCAGTGGGGCCAGACCCTCCCAAGTGCTGAAGGCCATGCCAAGAAACTTGGATTTTCTTCCAAATGCAATGAGTGTCCATTGGCTTGATGAGAGAGGTTCTTAGGGTCACCCTGGCTGCAGCATGGAGAGTTAAAAGAAGGAGGTAGAGACCCCAGGGGCTTGCCTCGGGTCAGGTGATGGCCATGGAGGTGAGTCCTGGGAGCCGGAGGGACAGAACTAGGTGGTGGATGGTATAAAGGAGGTGGGGGAAAGGAGGATCAAGGACGACAACGGGGTGGGTCATGCTGCCATTTACTGAGATAGGGAAACCTGGGAGATGTTGTTTATGGGAGGACAGGGGAAGATAATCAAGCTCCAACTTGGAGAAGTTAAGTTTGTGATGCCAAAGGGATATCCAAGTGGAGAGATCAAGCAGAGGGTTGGTTGTAGGAGTGGGGAGCTCAGAAGAGAGACTGGCGATACAAGTTTGGATGTTATCAGCCCACTGATGGTGTACCAAGCCTTGGAAATGCACGAACACAACTGGAGTGAGTGTAGAGAGAGGAGAAGGTCCTGGACCAAGGAAGTTCAATCCTTAGAAGTTGGTTTCAGGAGGAGGTGCGTAGAATCACATCTGGAGAGAGGGAGTCCTCCAGAGGAGGGAAGAGGATCTCTGGGCCGAGATGGGGGAGACAGACGGTGTTAATAAGGTTTACTTAACCTCCTTCTTATTGTGACCAAGAACTGGCTACACCCCCCTCAGTCCACGAGCATTTGGTGAGCAGCAGCTGTATCTAGAGAGCCGTCCTCGGCAGGGCAGGGCGTAGTTAAACAGAGATGGAGCACAGACCTGCTCCACACACCCTGAAATGACCACCGAAAGCTTTTTTTTTTTGCTAAGAATTCTTTTATTTATTTATTTATTTTGAGGAAGAGTGGTCCGGTGCTAACACCTGTTGCCAATCTTCCTCTTTTTTCTCCCCGAAGCCCCAGTACACAGTTGTGTATCATAGTTGTAGCTCTTCTATTTGGGACGCCGCCACAGCATGGCTTGATGAGCAGTGAGTAGATCCGCACCCCCGGCGAACCCCAGGCAGCGAAAGCGGAGCGCGTGAACTTAACCGCTATGCCACCGGGCCGGCCCCTGAAAGCTTTAATGATCCTCCACTGTATATGCTAAAGAAACTATTTACTAATTAAAATTTTTTAGCTAGAAAAGAAATTAAAATTTCTCATTTCCTGCCATGCTTAACAGTTCTTTCATGACTTGCCTTAAGTCAACTTTCCCTTTTTAAGTTGGCCACGCCCAACGTAGTTGACGTTTGTGAGTACATTCCTGTGGTTACTCTCCTGTCTGTTAGTGAGTACGTTTGCTCTCATTTCACGGCTGGATCATTAAGTCCAGAGAGCCAGGCTGGTACAGAGTTGGATGCAGGAGTGGGGATCAGGTTCCGGATAGAGCTGACCCGCAGTCTGAGAGGTCCCGGGAGGCACACAACTTCCTGAAGGGCCTTTATTTGTCCCTCTCACTCGCACTCGCTCTTTCTCTAACATGTCATTTCACAATCCTTTAAAAACCACAACGGAATTGTATGTTAAATCACCATGTTTTAGAGATGGGAAGGATATACTAAGAAGATGCTAGCAACCTGATTTTCTAGCACAGCTTGTAATAATATTAAAATTCATATACGTTTGCATTCAAAGTTGGTGTGGAATATGTGTTTTATCTTACTTTTCCAGTATTTCTTGAGCAAAGGTGTTGTGAGGGAATGCCACAGGGCTGCTCAGAGTCGAATTGGGAATTACTCTTTCTCAAAAAAAAGAAACAGACAACTTATTCTTGCATCACCCTAGTGATAGAATTAACAATTTAATTTAAAATAAAATATGCAAACATAAATTTAAAAAAAAGAAGTAGTAGTATGAGCCTTGACAATAGGCCAGGGTCCAGATCTTTGTTCCGCCACCGACCTTTGTGTGAGAGTTTGGGCAAATTACTTTAATTGGAAAAATTATGGGATCTATTATCATACAGCTGTTGTAGGATTAAATAAGTAAATATCCAAAGTCCTCAAAATAGTGCCTGGCACATAGAAGGCCCCAGATCAGCTCTTGCTGTTATGCCACCGACATGGAAACGGAGGCCCAGAGAGGGAAACTAAGGCGCCGAAGATCCCAGTTTCCCACCAGCAGGCAGGACCACAGCCAAGGTCTGCTGTTCCTTTCAGTTCCATCCTCTCAAATTACCGAGAGCCACAGATAAAAATCGCCTGGGGAGTGAGACTCTGGGCGTGAGGTCCAGACTCCCTTTCCAGGCTTGTCAGCAATAAAACACCAAAGCTTTACTTATTCTTCCTTAGCTGTGGGCCTGGCAGAATCCCAGAAACCAACTCCCGAACTAGACCTCACCATCTAGGTTAAACTTAACTTCTCCAACTTTGCTTTTTTATCCATTTTAATACAGTGGGAATCAAGTTGGATCAATAACCTTTGTCTCTTAATAACTGTCTTGTTTTTCCTCAACACTCAGATTTTGAGATTGGGGTGGTGAGGGATTTCAAAAACAAATAATATTTTAATAACATTTGTTAGACCAACGTATGGCTGCCAAATTTTTTTATGTTGCCAAATAAGATCTTAAAGGACTATAAGCTGCTTCCATCTCCCATCACCATCCCTTCACAAAAGAAATGACATTTCAGTGTCAAACAGGGAAGGGACATGGTGTCAGAGTAAAGCCCTGGGACCATGATACTCAGGCCATCTTGTCCAGCCCACTAGATTTTGAATTCCTCGGGGAATGCGTCTTATTCATCCTTAGATGCCCAGCTCTTAGGTGAGTGTTCTTGCATAAAGTCGGTGCCCATTAAGTACTATCTGAAATAAATGAATTGGCAAAACAGGGGCCCCATATTCAATATGGTTCTGATAGGAAAAGCTGACCCTGTCCCTTTAAAAGTGCACACCACACCCCAGACTCACATTCTGTACCCCCCACTTCTATCCCCTTGTACATTCCCAGTGTTCTGACAGTTTTCTTTTTTCCTCTCATCTAAATTGCTCTGAGAAAAGATCTGCTTATGTCTTGGTGTGAATCTGAGTCACTCTACTACCTTGCTCAACAGTATTGCATTTTACACCTTAATGTTTATTATGAAGGAAGTAATTCTAAGCCCTATTAAAGTAATATCTTCCATGGCAGAAACCATGGGAATATTTGGGGGAAGAGGTGCTTCTCAGTGGTGCTGAAATTCTGTTAAGGCTGAGCTGCCAGTGAAGAATCTAGGGACAGTCCCACAGTTCCTCAAAAGCTTAAACATAGAGGTACCCAGCAATTCCACTCCTGGATATATACCCAAGAGACTTAAAAACATACATCCACACAAAAACTCATACATGAATGTTCGTAGCAGCATTATTCATAATAGCCAAAAAGTGTGAACACCCCAATGTCCATCAAATGACGAATAGATAAACAAAATGTGATACATCACACGATGGAATATTATTCAGCAATAAAAAGGAATGAAGTACTGATACATGCTACAACATGAATGAACCTTAAAAACATTATGCTAAGTGAAAGAACTCGGACACAAAAGGCCACATATTATATGATTCTATTTATATGAAATGTTCAGAATAGGCAAATCCATAGAAACAGAAAGTAGATTAGTGGTTGCCAGGGGCTTGGGGGCGAGGGGGAATTGAGAGTGACTGCTAATGGGTACAGGGTTTCTTTTGGGGATAATGGGAATGTTCTGTAATTGGATAGTACTGATGGTTGCACAACCTCGTGAATATACTAAAACCCACACGATTGTATACTTTAAAATGGTGAATTTTATGTTATGTGAAATTATATGTTATATGAATTATATCTCAATCTAAAAAAAGAAAGATTACGGGGTAGAGAAGGATCCAGGGCAGGAAAAGCGATGGGAACACCAGTCAAGAC